AGGGGGGCGGGGTGGCCAGTCAGGCTGGCAGAATTTACAGGGCGGCAATCCCCGCTCCCTGCGCCGGGGCCTGGCCGCCGCAACTTTCAGCCTTTCCAGGGCCGGCGCCGAGGTGCTCTGAACGCTTGGCCGCTGCGCCGCCTCGCCGCCGCCGCACCTCCCTGCCGCCTTGCACCTCCCCTTGAGTATTTCACCCCGCCCATGCCCATTCAATCCCTTGACTGCGCCGCTCAGGAACCACCTACAATCCAGACCAGGGTTCGATCCTCGGCCTGCCCAGCGACGGCCTGGACGCCGGCCTGGCTGCGGTGGCTGAGGTGCGCTGCCGCCTGCAAAGGGACAGGGCGCCCCCGCCTGGCAGCCCCACTCACGCCCTGCAATGCGTGGAGGACTGGAGTGGCGGCGAACGCTCCTCATGGCCGGCCGCCGCATCCCTGGGGGTGCAAGAAAAAGCTGCGTGTTGCGGAGCAGCGGTTGATGACATCACGTCCACCCCCAAACCCCCCGGATCGATGACGTCACCCCCCTCGCCCCTACCCCTGCACCGCGGCGCCCCAGGTGTGCGCCGAGTGCAACGAGTCGCGGATTGAGTGCAAGGGCGGCGCGTTTAAGGCGGTGGGCGCCCCCACAGAGGCAGCCCTCAAGGTGGGTTTTGGAAGTGCATCGCAGCCACATGCAGGATGCATTGTTTTGGGGCGCAGCTCGGGCGCAGTGGGAAAGGGTTTCAGGTCGGCGGTTTATCCGACTCAGGGCGCCCGCGATGCATCAGCGCTCGGGGCAAAAACATCGATTGTTTGGCGCCTTCAGGCGCCGCTGCCTCGTCCCGCCGGACCAGGGCCCGCCCAGGTCATGTGCGCCACCCTCACCTCACCAAGAAAACACGGCGTCTCGAAAGTCGGGGCCCACTCAAACGCCCTGGATCCAATCCTGAAGCAATCAATATCAACGCTTCGACAATCTACTGCCACGTTGACATCAACCTGTTCGTTGGTGCCGTTCGAATTCGAAACGCAGGTCCTGGCAGAGAAGCTCGGCCTGCCCGACCGCGTCGCCACAGACGCGCTCGTGCGGCAGCGGCTGAACGGTGCGCGCGCCCCACGCGTGCGCCGAGGTGGCACGCGGGGCTGCGGCGCGTGGCCGCGGCCTGTGCCCGGCACGCTTAGCCCGGCCCTTGCGGTCCACCAGCCGACCCTCGCACGCGGCTGGGGTGACTCGGCTGCTGCCTTCAGCCTTCAGATAGGCAAACGCTCCTCTGCATGCTTCAAGGTGCACCCGTGGCGACATCCGGCCCCCAACCCCCCCGCCCCGCAGACCCCGAGGCGCACCCCGAGCCGATCTGCGCGCACATCTGCGGCCGCCTGCAGCGCCTGGCCCTGCTGGAGTTTGACCGCGACCGGAAGTCAATGAGCGTGATCTGCAGGCAGGAGGCGCCGCCGGGCCGCATCGTGACGCGCCACTCAGGTTTGAGTCCCCCCTGCCCCGCGTCTTTTTTGGGCCACCTAGCCTTTGAACCCATAATCTGCGTGGGCTCCCTTGTTCCCATGCCGATTGAATGTCGACGCTTAACCTGCCCATTCATGAGGCTTGCGATTGTCTGTCGAGGTTTGACGACCTTTCCAATGCTTGTCCCTGTTTCTTGCATGCTTCATGTTTCGATGACCAACCGATCCGAAACGAGGGGGTTTCGCTCGCCCATATGTTGGCCCCGCAGGCGGCAACGTGCTGCTGGTCAAGGGCGCCGCGGAGTGCATCCTTGAGCGCTGCGACAGGGTGCTGCTGCCAGACGGCCGGGAGGGCAAGATGGGGCCGCTGGCGCGGGCCACGCTCATGAGCGCGGTGGATTCGATGGCCGACAGGTGGGGTTCAGGGGGAGGCGGTCCGGTTGGTTGGCTCGCCACTCGGCGTTTTGGGTTGTGCAGCCGGCCTTGTTGTGATGTTGCAGGCGTGCGTCGCACGGGATTGTGTCGCATAACGGACATGTGCTGTCGGGTTGGGCGTGTGTGTGTGTGTGTGTGTGTGTGTGTGTGTGTGTGTGTGCGCGCGCACGCACGCGCACGCGCGTGGACGTTCGCCCCACCCCCCGCCACATCCACCTATGACAGCCAAAGAATGTCTTTTGGAACCCTCTTGCATTCTCACAAAACTCACATGTATACGTACACACGCGCGCGCACATGCAGGGCCCTGCGCATCCTGGCCCTGGCGCGCCGCCCCGACCTGCCCTCCGACCTCGCCACCTTCACCGGCGACACCAAGAGTCCAGGGGGCGTGCGGCTGCAGAACAGCGCCAACTACGAGGTGGGTGGGGGGCAGCAGGGGCCTGGACGGCTCCCTGGGCTGCCTTTGATTGGCTCCTCATGGTCTGGCTTACGGCTTCGTGTGCCTGACGGGATGCACAACAGCGGCAGCGCAGACGGGCCCTTGGAACTGCCCGCTTGGGGTGCCGGTCGTTGCGAAGCGACGCATGGGGTCGCACTTTGGAAAACGCCGTGCATTGCAAAAGCTCATATGGCGCTGCGGGCGCAGGGGCTGCAGGGCATGTTGCGCCGTCGGCGCCCTGCCGCCTCGGCTGATGCGTCCCTTGCGGGCGGGGAGCTTGTTGGTCCGCATTTCATCCCCCAAAACGCCCATCTCAGTCCCTACACCCCTCTTCTGCCGCGCCGCCCCGCCCAGTCCATCGAGAGCGGCCTCGTGTTTGTGGGGCTGGTCGGGCTGCAGGACCCGCCGCGGCCCGAGGTGCCGGGGGCGATTGCGGACTGCGCCAACGCCGGCGTGCGCGTCATCGTCATCACGGGTGCGCGCGGGATGACGCAGGGCCGCTCTGTTGCGTCAAAAGCAGCACAGTGCCCAGCAAAGAAGCGCGCGCACACACACTCAAACATTCCCTCACCCCCCCACACACACACACACTTACACACACACACACACACAAACACACACACACACACACACACACACACACACACACACACACACTTGCACACACACACACACACTCATGCACACACACCCCACATTCTTACACGCTCGTACACACCCTCACACACCCTGACACACACCCTGACACACATCCTCCTCCTCCTCATTGACCTGCTTTGCCTGCACCACTTTCCACAGGCGACAACAAGACCACCGCGGAGGCGATCTGCCGCAAGATCGGCGTGCTCGAGGAGGGCGCGGACGCGGAGGGCCGCTCCTTCACAGGCCGCGAGTTTGTGGGTGAGAAACGTCGCCTCCCCGCCCAACCCCCGTTTGCTGGAGGGCCGGAGGCAATGCGTGCACTGCTGTGCGCCGCCCTTCAAAACAGCGGGGGCGCTGGGGGGGGCGCCGCGCCTGTCTTGCCCTCTGCTTTGATGGTTACATTGAGTGTGGGCGGCCTGGCCGGCCCCAAGCCGCGAAACACGGATTCGCCCCTGGCTGGCTGTCCGACCCGGCTGCACACCCCCCTCACGGCCCCGTCGCTTTCTCCCTCCCCCCAACCGCGTCCGTGTCCCCCAGAGATGCCCCGCGAGCGCCAGCTGGCGGTGCTGGGAGCCGGGGAGTCACTGGTGTTCTCCAGGGCCGAGCCGCGCCACAAGCAGGTGCGGACGCAGAGGCGGCACCCCGCTGCCCGCACCACGTCACCCCAAAGCCATGCCGGGCTGCAGGCCTGCCGCTGCAAACATCACATTTAATGTCGAGTTGGCTCGGTCGATGGCACGCCAGCAGCCTGGTTGTCGGCTCCAGGCTGTGTACGTGCCCCCTGTGTGCGCAGTCCGCTTGCCTCCGCTCTGCAAAAAACACAGGCACAGGCGCAGGTCGTCCCCGAAGCTGTTGGCCAACACCCTTTGCACCTCTTGACTCGCAGGATATTGTCCGTCTCCTCAAAGACATGGGAGAGGTGGGCGCACGCGCGAGCGCGCTGCTGGGGGCGCCACCTGGTCGGCGCTCGCGCAAACCTTCGCTTTCCGCCCTCCCTCTCTCTTTTGCCGCTGCCTCGCCGCCCGCCGGCCATGACACCGCCGCCGTTGATTGCTCGCTTAACAACACGCGTCCTCCAGCCCCACCCCCACCCCTTCTTGCAAGTCACCCAACCCATGCCCCCTTCCCGCCTGCCCGCCTGCCTGCTGCGTCATGGCGCGCCCCCAGGTGACCGCGATGACGGGTGACGGCGTGAACGACGCGCCGGCCCTCAAGCTGGCGGACATCGGTATTGCCATGGGCATCGCCGGCACTGAGGTGATTGCTGGGCTCCCGGCCTGCCTGCCTGCCTGCCTGCCTGGGCCCTGTCTGCCGGCTGCGGCATCGGCTGACACCCGCCGGCCAGGAATAGGCCATTGCTGCCCTGTTTGGGGGGCGCACAGCAACGTCACACTCTCGACACCTCACCATCAATGTACACACACGCGCGCACACACACACACACACACACACACACACATGCGCGCACACGCGCACACGCGCACACACACACACATATACACACACACGCGCGCACGCACGCGCGCGCACACACACATACACACACGCGTGCACGCACACTCTTTCACGGGTGCAAGAACACCTCACGCACCATGACGCGCGCACACACACACACACACTCTCTCTCTCTCTCTCTCTCTCTCTCTCTCTCTCTCTCTC